AACTCCACCGGAGGCACGGCTGGGAATTTTGTTCATGGCAAGAGTTTTCTGTTTGTAGGGCTTTAGATCCACAGGTTTGGTGGAGGTGTTGTTAGTTTCAAATCCCTAAGCACGGGGTCACCACCCCCCCCCCCCTTCTCCGCTTGGGAACCCGTGCTCACCTGCCCCTATTCCCTGTTGCAGGATGAAATCAAGCGAGCACCCCTTGCCCCCCGGCCTTGGGAAGATGAAAGTACACGCAGAGGGAAGTCGATTATTCTCTTGTGGCCACAAATCGCCGCACCACCAAACCTTTAAAGACCCCCGACCCGGGTTTTGAGTCAGGGTAAATATTCTCTGCAAGCCTTTCTCCAAAAAAAGTTTTTTTAAAAAATAAAATCAAAGTATGTTCAACAGACCGAGGCAAAGACATTGCTGAGGAAATGATCTGTTGGCAAATTTCAGCGTCAATGGCAAAAAGCACTTGTAAAGTGAACTTTAAAATCAACTTCTGTTTTCAATTATTTGAAATGATTTGCACATGATTTGCCTAGGTTCTTGAACATAACTGCATTGCAAATTTAATTTAAACAATCACTCCTTTTGATGGAACAACCTTGCAAGAATCAATGAAAAAGGAACAAAACTGTTACTTAATCTGAACTACATCATCTTTTCATTTTTTATCTTTTTTACATTGAGCCCATGTTTTTATCCATTTGCTTCCATTTATTTTTTGCCTCATTTTTTTAAATTTTCTTTGGGCCGCAGACAGAATCAATGTAAGCGTCCAAGATATTTTTGAACAAAAAAGTCTACTTTATCACAGCAACATGTTCATGCTAGCACACACACACACTCAGCACTCACTCACACACCACATACATACACACACTCTTCCCCTCAGCCTGTGGATGTTTGAACTTGCCTTGAGCAAGTCTGCAGACCTACCGCAGAAGTCAGGAAAATGTGCCGTTGTTGTGACAACAGATCCGCTGCAGAACTGCACTGCTTTCTCTGTGTGTGTGGTGTGTTGTGGTGTTTGTGTGTGTGTGTGTGTGTGCGCGGCTGGTGTTTTTTTTGCTTTCTTCGTATCTATGTTCGGCATGCGAGTGTGTATTAGCTTGTGTGTTGTGCTATGCATCTGCAGCTGGCTTTGCCGGTGCTGATTATTTGGAACGTTTTTTAGGCCGGTGGTCCATCCAGGGAAAGAGTCTTGAACTGTTTTTTCAAACAACTGGATCCTGCAGGAGTGTTTGTGTGTCCGCGGCCAAGCGCTCCTGCCTGCTGCGGTCCTTAAATTTTCCCTAACCCGAAACAAAAATGTGCCTTGGCAAGCTCCGGCAGGCATTTAGAGGCTCCTTCTTCTTTCTTCTTCTTCTTCTTCTTCTCCTCTCCCCCTGTTTCGCTCTCTCTCCTCCCTTTATCTTATTATCTGTCTAACTCTTTCTGTCTGTCTTTCTCTCTGTGTCTCAGCCTCTCCAGTGCTGACAAGGCACATATTCAGCGTGTGTGTGCAGTAGGTTGGTGGGGCTTATACTAACACAGCTGCAGGCCCGGACTCACCTCTGTCTTTGAGACCCAGACGCAGCCGTTATTTAGAACAGAGTGGCTGGTGTGAATTTAATATTTACTTAGTCTCTGGTCCGCAACCTGGAACATTAGGGGCTTCTTCTTTCTGTTGATCAGTTGAGCAGTAAAGAGCCGAAAAACCACCATGGCCACCATTTTGTTTGTTTGAGATGATTAACTCTAATTATTTAATCAGGGATCCCCATGGATTTCGCTTAAAGAGTGTAAAATCGACTGAGTTCCTCTCTTCCCTCTCTTAATGTGTGTGTGCATGCAGGTCACGGCAGGGCGGTTCACCCGGTGCATACGACCGCAGCTTCAGGTGGAAATACCATCAGTTCCGTTTCCTGTGTCATGTAAGTGTTAACTGGAGTTTGAAGCCAAAATAAAAACGAAACGAAAAATATTTTCATTTAGCCATGCCAATTTTGTCTGTATTTCTTCAGGTTTTATGACACCCATATCCACCCTAATATAGTAGGAGTGATAGAATTCCATGTGTATAGGTGTCTTTTTTCATAAATGATGTCCCCATTGATCTACAGAACATGCAAAAACAGTCTTATCTAGATATTATTTATTCTGTAGAAATGCAGTTTTTAAGTGAGAGACTTGTGGTAACTAGCAGTTACCAATGTCCCACAGAGCTTTTCAGGAGGTGTAACTGTCTCAAACCTTTTTTTATTTCTCTGCATATGTTGTTTAACTCAACAGTGATTCTAACTTCTGGATTTATGTCTTTTGTCTCTGTCCAGTCCAATGCCTTGCCCAGCCACGTAAAGATCTCGGTGTCCAGACAGACGCTGTTTGAGGACTCTTTTCAGCAGGTCAGTGACGGGCAAAACACACGTCCCTACATTAAACATCATCTTGATAACCTGAAACAGGTCAACACAATGAAGCTTTGAGCTCAATTTGGTACCGTTAGTTAATGCGAATATTGATGATTAAAACGTGAAGGTGCAATAGTGTTTGTGCCATATACATTCTGTATAACATGAATATTTTACAGTCTTAGTAAAAGTAGTAATGGTTGGTAAGCATCTGACACATGAAGGTTAGAACATCGCGGTTGAATATATACAACTTTAATTTCAGACAATAAAACAACATAATCCTCACTCTCTGCTGCAGTTAGGAAAATGAGAGGTGAAAATGATTGTTTGATGTGTTGTCATCAGATCATGAATGTGAAGCCATACGACCTTCGCCGCAGACTCTACATCATTATGAGAGGAGAGGAGGGGCTGGACTACGGCGGCATCGCCAGGTGAGAGCAGCGACTTCTTTTTTCTCCTCACGTTCAGTCATTTTGTTTGTGGTGTTTTCTTCAGGGGCTGTTATTGTGTTATATTAACATTTGTTTTTAACGTCGGTGACGGTGATGGTGTTTTCCTTCTCCTGCCACCTCTCTCTGCACCAGCTTTATCCTCTGTGTTTACTGCAGTTCCAGGCAGGCTTCAAACAACTTTAAACAATCACAAAGAGGCAATGGGCAAGGAGCGTTACAGAGTTCTTGACTCAAGGTGTTGAGATTTGCTGGCTTTCTGTCCATTCTCTTTTTTTTGTTTGGATATTGTGTGTGGTAGGCTGAAATTCTCACTGGTTGCCAGCAGAGGTCATACTGTAGATTGCTTAATAGGCCTTTTAAATATTGCTTCCTGAATTCATACAACACATCCTCCCCTCTTGCAACATGTCCGTCCTCCTTCCCTTACCCTCCATCCACCCATCACATGTATCCATCCTGCCCCCCGCGTCTGCTGTGTTCCAGGTCTTCCTTCCTGTGTATGTTGTTATTTTTCTGTTGGCGGTGTTCTCTCATTTTTTTGCTGTTTGGTTTTGCATTGTGTCTCTGTCTCCGGTGTCACGTCAGTGGTTTTACCCTATGGTAGGTGACATCATGCTGTTCTACCACAGGGTAGAACCACGGACGGGATGTTGGGAGGTGTCTGCGTCCGTCCGTCAGTCCATAACACAGTCCACCCTCCCATAAACCCCAAGGGGGAGGGGCAGGGGCCTTTGGAGCGCTTGGTTCTGGTGCTGCTGGTGGGCCCTCATTCTGTCTAACATGCATCCTTACGCAGTCTGTTTGTGTCTTTTTTTTTTTTATTCTACCCTGTGTATTTATCCTTCACTTATATGTTTTGTCTTCATATAATTTATGTGTCAAATTCGGATTGTAGGATGTGTGCAAATTTGTTGGTGTACTGTATATTCTAATTTACACACTGTTAAGTAGGTCGATACAATTCTTAGTCTTTAAGCAGATCTACACTACCTTGATAAACAGCCTAGACTAAGAGAGAGTGTCTTATTCTCATTAAAGAAATACTTTATTTTCATTTTGGGAAAAATACTTCTTATCTTATTCTTATGATTAGCTTAGCTTAGCACAAAGACTTGAAGCAGGGGAAAACAGCTAGCCTGGCTCTGTCCACCACCTCACTGGTTAACATGCCATATGTGGTTGGTTTAATCAGGGGAAAAACCATTGAAGTGCGGATGTATTTCTCGGCCAGGTTCAGTGACTTCTTCAGGTCGTCACCATGAGGTTGCCAGGCAACCAGCGGAGACCACCAGGAAGTTACTGTTCTGACATGAGAGCAGTCTAAGCTATTTCCTTTAATGAAAATCTGTGGATTTATACAATGAGATTTTTTTAGATTAAATCTGCATATGTTTCTACCACACCTTAAAGTCTCTATACATGGATATTTCTCTAGAGCCGCACCTGTCAGGTAGAGCCGAGTGTTGATACTCTCTGCTCGACTGCGTCTACCTCTTTACATTTAGAAGGTTGTTATTTTAAAATACTTATTAAGATACCCAACAGAGAAGAATAAAAAATATCAAATACCACATTACGTGATGGCAACACTAGAAAACCATGTTCAGTTGTGTGAAACATGAGGAGAAATAACAAACTCCTTAAAGTTAGATTCCAAACCTCTTCCCGTTATCTTTTAGCCATTTATTTACTGTCATATTCAAACATACAGTGTGTCATTACTCTGAAGCTGTAGGATTACTGTTTCATTTCATGTCAGTTTTGTTCTTTTGTTCTGTATTATTTTCTATAAACTGTGCTCGTTGGTTATGTTCTGTCCGTTGATAAAATGTACTGTGATTATTTATTTATTTTTGTCTGTATATGTTATAAAATGTCTTCTTTTTTTTCTCCATCATCTATTTGTCACCTGTCTTTATTCGTTCTTGGTCCTGGACCACAAAATGTGTTGTTTTTTTTGTTTTTTGTTCCCACCTACCACTTTGTCTCCGCTTACAGTGATAAAACTATCTCCTCCTCTTCCTCCACTGAACCTCCTACATTAAGCACATATATTGTTAAAGGGAAAATGATGGAGCGTATGCACTGACTCCTAACAGTGCTGTCGTCTCTCAGCCTTAATGTCCTCTGTCCTCTTGCTCTGCAGGGAGTGGTTCTTCCTGCTGTCCCACGAGGTGCTGAACCCAATGTACTGTCTGTTTGAATACGCCGGCAAGAACAACTACTGTCTACAGATCAACCCAGCCTCCTCCATCAATCCCGACCACCTCACGTACTTCCGCTTCATTGGACGCTTCATCGCCATGGTGAGCTTTGCTTTGGGATAGTTTTGTGCAAATCACACGTGAGACTTGATTCGCTTTCAGGGACTTTCAAAGTCTAGGCAACACAGGTGTTTTGCTGTTTTTATTCCTAACCTCCACCAAGGAGGTTATGTTTTTGGTGCCGTTTGTCAGCAGGAATACGGAAAAACTACCAGCACAGTTTCATGAAACTTTTTGGAGTGGATCAGAATCACAAGGCGGATACACAAATAATTTTTCACTTCCCTTCGGCACAATGAACTGAATTTGTCGTGATTGAATTGAAGTGCTGTGACTAAAGATACAGAAAAATTTAGATACCATCTAGTGGTTTAGTTGCTTCTCTTTCCAATAGCAAAGGGGAACCTACACAGGGCCTTTCTAGTTGCTTTTTTGAAGTTTTTGAAACAGAAAAGTCTACCTCAAACATAATTTTAGTGACCATCCAAAGAGGTCTCCTTTTCTCCAAAACAAACAGACTCGCTGATTAAAACCACTAAAAACATCTGCAAGTTAAAGCAGTTCCACCTTAAAAAATTCACTGCTTTCTTTCCCACGCTTGTTGACAAACAAAGGACGTCCTCGGAAGGGCTGCGACCGAGCTGCCCTGCCTAACCGTTTAGCCTCAGCTTTGTTTCTTCTGGGGGGGGTTAACTTTTAAAGATCCAGATGTTCCGATGGACTAAAATCCTTCATCCGGTTGTCAAATTCTGAGCTTTAAAAAAGCACCAGCCCTTAACAGGTGGGGATTGGTAAAAATGTGCGCTTTCAGACTGCGATAAACATGTCATAAACAGTCAATGTATGACAGCTTCTGACAGACAAGGTGTATTTTCTGAGGCTAAACTCTTATTCGCCTGCTACATTCGCATGGTTTCTTTTTTAGGGTTATTTTTTGGGTATTTTGCGTTTGTTTGTTAATGACAGTAGGGATACAGACAGAGGTGTGACAAACATCAGGGGTCCCCGACTGGTTTGGAAGCGGGGACGCTGTCATTATGCGTTACGGGTCTTTACCAAGACCTCTTTCACAGATTAGTAGTTTGTAACCTTCGATATGTACAGTTTCTGTGTGATTTACAGTATGTGCTATAATGTCTCTCTTTCTGGGCTCAACTCCAGAAGGCTGTAGGCCCCAAAACCGACACCCTCCACCCCTCCTTCCGTCTGCCACCCCACCCCTCACCCACACCATGACCTCACTGCCGCGCCCAGCCCACACCCGCCAGCAGCTGCCTATATTTAGTCCTAAAATGCACTTTGCTGACTTGCCTTATAAAGATGCTTGTCTCAACTACCAAACACTCTTACTGCCTTTCTCTCTTTTCTTTACCTTTATTATTACATTTTTTTACCTTTCTGTCTACGCCCCCCAATTTCCACCGACACCCTCCCCTCTGTCTTCCTGTCTGCGTGCGTGTGTCTCGCTGGCTGTGAGACAGACACATGGTCAGTCAGGATGCAGTAGGACAGAACAGACTGTGACTGAGTCAGTCAGTGGGCGCCTGTGTTGTTCTTGGCTCATCGCAGCTCTGAGCCCTCTGTGGTTTTTTTAACGTTAAACAGCTCCGTCTGGCTGAGTCTACTCACTCTACCTCTCTGTGAACACACACACACTCAACGAGGAGAGATTAGAGTTTGGTTTGGAGCTGTGTGAATGTATTTGTGTCGAGTGCACACATGGTCTGCAGTTAGCATTTGTCTCTAATCTAGGTGACTTTTTGTAGTTTTAACCATCAAAATAAGGATAAAAGTACAGAATATGTCAGATTTTAAAGCACTTGTGTGTACATGGCTACAGCTACAATAGACCAATCAGAAACAAATGCAGATGTCACCCTTTGAGCTGCAGAAACATGCACAAATGAAGTGTTGAAGTGTTAAGTGCCACAGATATTATGTGAATTATCCGTTGTTGTAGTGTCCCTGTGACTTCATGTATATAAGGAGGTGTGGTAAATGATTTCGACAGGAGAAGTATGATATCATGATTCCACAAATAAAAGCCCCATTCATGTTTCTTGAAAAGGTGACTGGCCGTTAAAGCAATTCTAACACTCGTATGGGCATGAAACAATCCCCAGTGAATCATCAGCGCAAACACCGAGCCACTCAGAAGAATATATGCGCAAGAAGAATTTGTCAAGAACAAATTTGAACCATATGTCTCCATTGGCCATACAATAACAAATTTAATATCACCAGATTACAGCAGGGGAAAGAAATACTCCCCTCACTTCTGTCCTTTGATTCAAACCTGCCATATCTCCAGCTTTAGTGAGTTGACACTGTGTTTATGTATATCTTTCTGAGTTTGAGGTTTTAATGCAACCAATCCTCCCTGCAGGCTTTGTACCATGGGAAGTTCATCGACACCGGCTTCACACTGCCGTTCTACAAGCGAATGCTGGACAAGAAACCCACGCTCAAAGACCTGGAGTCCATAGACCCTGAGTTTTATAACTCCATCATGTGGGTCAAGTAAGTAACACAGGATGGGTTACTCCTGGATGTGTGTTAGTGTTATTTTATGCTCACGAGTGGAGGGAAATGATCAGTAAGCAGCAGTAGCAAAGTATCCGTCTTGCAAGAAATGTATCAGGCCTTACATTTAGGTTGTGTTTCCGTGTGTGTCCAGAGAGAACAACCTGGAAGAGTGTGGCGTGGAGCTGTATTTTGCACAGGACATGGAGATCCTCGGGAAAGTTTCCACTCACCAGCTAAAAGACGACGGCGAGAATGAGCTGGTCACCGAGGAGAACAAGGAAGAGTACATCAGGTAGGGTAACATGAGCAGCGATAACCCACTACAGCTGAACAGACGGGAGGAGAATGAAACTTCGTCAACAGAAAAGTCCAAACCTTAAAAACCAACCGCTCTTCCTTTCCTCAGCCTGCTGACAGACTGGAGGTTCACCCGCGGGGTGGAGGAGCAGACCAAAGCCTTCCTGGATGGCTTCAACGAAGTGGTTCCTCTGGAGTGGCTTCGCTACTTTGATGAAAAGGAACTGGAGGTGAGGAGAAGGAGTGGGAGGGCTGGAAGGAGGTCTGGAGGGTGGGCCGACAAGGCCCTTTGGAAGTCAGAAGAAATGTAATGAACAGGAGTGCACTGAATTCCCCCTTATAGTCTAATAGTGAGTGATACTTATGGACTTGGAGTTGTTATATGTTTCCTTAATGTG